TGCCTGTACCCCAACATATACTTCTCATTTTGCCTTAAACCAGTCCTATTCTAGCTGCCTTTTCCACCTATCTGAATGGATCCTACCACCACAGGGAAATTGCTGGGCTCTCTTGCTCCATCCCTCTTTGGACTCTCAGACACCAGAAAAAGTATGTTCAAGCTGTAAGGAAGCCAGAAAGTGAAATGATGCCCTCTCCAAAGCACCATGGTCTTTTTTGTTTGTTAATCCAAAGTAAGCACCACCCACCACTCTGGCTTCTGGCTAAGCAGCTCCCACCCCCAGCAGCTCTCACTATTCACCAGTTTTTAAAGGGCTGATCAGTAGGACTGGTCAGTAATCCAGACAATGACTATTTCCTTCAGGATATTTTACCCTGGTAATTACACTGACAATTCTTCTGAACACTTGATAAGTCAAAGGTTGATTTCAGGAGATTTTAAAAGAAAGGAAATTTAACAAAGAATAAGTTTAAAATAAGTTAAATTCCATCCCTCCAGAGTCTCAATTTTTTTAAAAATTATGTCTTAGGTTTCTAAAGTATTTTATAATCTGGGGTGAACTTTTGTGTCTTCCTTCCCAACCAAACATCATAATTGTACTGTGAATAAGGCGGAGCAGATATCATCAAGTTCCATCCTAAGACTATGGAGTAGCCACACCAACAAGAGGCCCCGCCCACTCTGCCAGGGTGGGATGTTTGGCTGTTGGCCCCACTGTAGACTCTCACTTGTTTATACCTAGATAATCACTTAAGCACATTGACATTGTTAGAAATTATATGGCAGAAAGGGAGAGACTGGAGAAGGGTAGGCTGACTATACACACAAACTGATCTGGGCAACATTTTTATTTTAAAATAAAAATTCCTTCAGATCTTCACTTACAGAACAAACCAGTTCATAATGAAATATTTCCTTTCCTAATTCACAAGCTCCATAATTTATAATTACTGAACATTTCCCCAGGTCTCCAGGGAGAGATCTGCATACTACACATCAGAAAATGCTCTTGGAAATCAACTTAGGAGAAATGAAACTATAGTTCACAGCTTTTGGTTTTATGCACATAAACCTAGTGTGTCTTCATAAATTACAGAAACCTCACCTTTCTCACCTGTTTCAGCCAATATTTATCATACATCCTTTATGTGGGAGACACTGCCGAGGGTGGCAGGGAATGCGGAGAGGAATGGGGCAGACTCTGCCCTGGGGGCATATGGAAAGGACACAGGGACAGAGCACATCCGGTGGACTAACCCAGGAGGAATGGTAAAAGGAAAAGGTGACCCACCTGGGCCCCGGAAAATGACAAAGATATCACACAAGGAGAGAAAGGGAGAGCACTTCTGCCTGAAAGAACACAGATGTTCAGTTCAGTTGCAGTAGCAGAGAGCAATCGCCAGATCAGGTTCAAAACGGAAAAGCGACATGTATAAAAAAGGCAAAAGCATCTACTCTACTTGCTCTAAAAGAAAACGGTTACTCATTCTAGCTGCATGCAAAGCAGAAATGAGGAACAAGGGGTGACCCTTGGCCTACCAGTAGCCAGAGGCAGGCTGGCATCGGGGCTACAGGCCTTACGCTGGAGGAGCGAGTGCTCCCTGGGCTTTGGTGCTGTCAGCCAGGGGATGGGGGACGCTCCTCCCTGAGTGCTCCCTGGTCCTCAGGCCAGGGTTGGTGAGGAGGACCAAGTCCTGCAGTTGTGCCCACAAGGCAGAACTATAACAAAACCGCTGGTGACTAAAGGCTTGTCCGGGCCGCACACAGCCTGTTCCCAACCAGAGGAGTGGAAGTCAGGTTCCCCGGGGTGTGCTTTAAGGAAGCCCCTCTCCTAGAACACACCTTGTCGGATGGGCCCCAACCCAAGTCAGTCACCATGACGCCCCAGCTCAGAATAAACGCGGTTCCTTGGGCTGGGGGACCTCAGCGCTAAGCCACAGCCCCCCAACTGGGGGCACAGTCACCAGATCCAGGCCTCGGCCGAGCAGGGACAGCCCCTCCCGCAGGGCAGAGACGTGCCGATGGCAGGTCTTCACCCCGCCAATCAAAAGCTACACGAGGGGTCGCGCCCAGGTTCCACACACATCGAGCCGTCCCAGCACATCCTGGCTGATGCAGACGAGTGGCAGGAACTGGCCAGCGCCCAAGGGCCGCTCCCCGAAGCCAGGCCGCGGCGCCTCCACGGACCACGGGTGGGTGGCGGAGGGCGCA